TAGCAGTATCTGAAATTGAGTGGAGAGCTGCACTGTTATCAGACTTGACTCATAAGCACTGCTATTAATCAGAGCTATGATAGCATTTATATATTTCAAGCTATCTGCTGCCGCTGTGATATTCTGCTACAAAGGGTTGATGGGACTTAGGAAAGTGAACAATAGAGCTTTCTGGGAAAAGCAGAGTAAATCAAGAAAGTCTATGACTTCCGCACATTCTGAAGGGATTGCGGTTTACATAAATTTTCTCCCAATTGGAGATTGAGCTCTTCCTCATCTTACACATGGGATTTAGTTGTCACTCAATGGTAACAGCTGTGAAAAGGTGAAGCGGCCCACCGCTCAGAATATTGCCTTCGCTTTTAAAGCAATTAACCCATGAACAGGAGGATACCTGGTGATATCAAAGGGATTAGGCCAGGCAGTGCATTATTAACATTTCCTTGAACTAATTCTAACTCTGACTAGCTGTCAGAAAAGACTCTACAGTCTTAAAAAAGAGTTTTTGCCCTGCTTTTTTCCCTTCAAAATGAAGTGCTGCTATTTGAGCCTAATATGTCCTTCTACTTATAAGAAAATGCAAATGAACCGAGCTCTTAATATGCTTAACCAGTCCAAGTCAGTGCAATTTTAATACAAGTACGAGAGAAATATGTGATCAATTAACCAGGGATCAAGGCAGATATTCTGCTGAATGGAAATTAATGCTCCAGTACTTTCCATTCTTCTTCAACTACAAAAACTTGGTGACAATTCATTACTTATGCACAGTTACTTTTGAAATTAGGAAGAGCTTCACATTATTCTCTATGGCAATAATCTAAAATACTCTTTAAGCTGGAAAATCCAAATGTCCCTTAAGCAGGAGATTCTGCATTCTCTAAGGTATGGTATTTTAATTTTCTATTCTTTATTGAATGGAACCTTAGCTGAAGCTATAAGAATAGCAGACACAGTATTCAGAATCAAGTGTTCAGTTTCCAAAAGTTTAATCAAATTAATTCTTAGCAGCAACATAATGCTTAGAAATATATAACTTCTAAAAAATATAAAAACTCAAATAAAACACTGGCACAAAACAATCTGCCACAAGGTATCTAAATATAATTGAAATTGATTGTAAGTTCCTTGCAGTAAGCAGGCATAGTTTCAAGAGTTTCAAGACACCTTTAATTGTTATTAATATTCATGTATTCTAGGTAACCTACTTAACATTAAGAGATCTGATTTCTTACTGTACAATCTTAATGGTGTTTAAAAGCTGTTTATGTAAGTTTCCTGAAACAGTGCCTTTTAGAAAAAAATATTTGAAAAATTGCTTATTTAGTGCTTAGTGACTTTAAATCTTGCTTTCTTTAAAATGAGCACTGAATTTGTATTATAAAAACTAAGAGATTTACTTTTAGTTCACAGAGGTGCTCAACAAATATTGTTGAATGAATTCTTCTACAGTTCCATTTGGCCTGTAATAGTTTGAAAAGAATATCCTGACTCCCATGCTTGTTGAGAATATATTCCTTGCCTGTAACTACCAAAATAAATGATACAAGATATGCCCTTATCTGAGATCAGAAGCAATTTGAATCTTCCCTGAGGTAAGGAATTTTTATACAATGCTATCAACATACTCCACTGTCTTTTAGTAACACCACAACACATGAAATGGGAACATGGAGATGTTTTATGATAGTGATTTCAGTACTCCTTCCTGGTTAAGTATATAAGACCTAGTTTGATGTTCTTTAGAAAATAATTTTGAAATTCGAATTGTGCTAAATGGTGCTCATATTCGTGACTTACATTACCTTGAACTTTTTTATTTTATAGTAGTAGGATTTGGAAATTTCCAAAAGAACAGGGGACTTTAAATACCATACTATCAAATTAAAAAATCTTTTACATCAATGGCCTTTAAGAAGTAAATCTCAGTTCCTATAAATCACTGACTATTACATAGTCTTAAATACACAGATGTACACATTAATAAAATGAATACTATTTCATACAAATGAAATGTATTAAACTCACATAATACAATGCTTAAATGCATATAAAGGCTTAAAAATATCCCCTGAAGGTGAAATTCCATAAATAAATACATAGAGAAACAACTGTCACAATCTTACTATTTTTAATTCAATAAACTACAGTGATACATACAGCTTTCTATGTGCTATTTTCCTCATACGCTTTCTACATTAGAGCAAAGCAAATATAAATGAGCTCTTGCCAGCCATTAGGAAAGACTGACAAAAAAATGCAGTGTTAATGATATCTTACGGCTTTTAAAAGCAAGAAAAAGATGCAAGAAAAGCAAAAATTACATGGTAATTGAATGATGAATAAATTGTTCTTTCAATCTAAGTCATGTTTACTGAAAAAAATGGAGCTTTTTACATCAACACATTTAAACAGAAATTTGCTTTTGAAATACAATCTTTGTTTAAAAGGTACAGAAGGTCTTTATGTCCACCCCAAGAGCTAAATATAGTGAATGCTATGTGAACAATTACCTGAAAAAAACCTTAAACCTATTAAAAGAATTAATTGACTGCACACCAGTCAGCACTAATCCTACATGTACAGTAATGTTCTTTTAAGTGACTGGGGGAAGGAGGGGAAAATAAAACTGTTTCCTGGATCAAAACCCTTCAATACTCAATGACAAAATGGAATTATGATTTGGTCTGTAAATGAATAAAGTAGTGAAATGTCTCCTAAACAAATTCTGATAAAGGAGTCAACCTGTAAAGGAATACATTTACTGTACACTGGGACTGAAAAAAAGCTGTCACTGTAACGGCTGTACAGAACTTGTGTCCTGCTGTTGGGTTTATGTTCACAGAAGAAAGGTTTTAAAGGTTAAGTTCAGGTCATACAACAAATGAAATTGTAACAAGCCAGCTGACATTGTATAATGTCTTCTTCCACTCAATCAATAGGCTACTGTTAGTCCTATTACCATAGAGATGGCTTGCTCCTTTCTCAAGGGTGTCTATTGTTTGACAAAACAGATTTGCCACTTGAACTAGGTTGTTCTCAAAGGACGTGTACCTTGTCAATTATTTGTATTCAAAATAATGAAGTATTTTCATATTAAAATGTATGTAAGAGATAATATTGTTAGATTCCTTTTCTGAAAAAAAAAACCAACTTTTTACTTCCAGAGTACTCTAATACTAAAACCACTCCAATATCCAATGTAATCATATTAACAGCTCTGATTTAAAACACATCAGAGCAAGTAGAAAAAATTACCATTAAGAGTGTATATTAAAAGAAAAGGGTTGCAGGCTAGTGTACTAATCTAAAACCCATTATAGTCGAGTATAATAATTAATAAAAGCTATTCTAAAATGTGGACAATTCAAATGAAAATTATTGTCCAAAGCCGTTTGGATTCTGTAAAGATAAAGATTTTCATATATGATTTTTTGCAGAAGTTCTCATGTAGAATGGTATTAACCATTAGTATGTTGAAAAACATGAAAAAGTTTTAGAAAACTAATCACTTTATTTGCATAGTAGCTATTTATATAAACATAACATTTAAAATATGTGTTATATAAAGGATCTTCTAAAATACAGATACAAGTATTGCATCGAGTATTTATCAAAATAAATACAAGTATTGGTTTTCTTAAAATGTATCTTAAAATAGATTGGTAAAATTAATAACTTATACATTAAATAAAGAACAGGTAAGTTCTAAATTTTAACCTACATGCCTAAAAATAAAAAGGATCAGTTTTTCTCTCAACAGACATACTGACAGAATCTAAATTATAAAAGACTCAGAAGGAATAATTCTAATAAAGATTATTCTAATCACTTTGAAAAAGGAAGTATTCATAAGACTGATCAGTACAAGCAGAGATGTTATTTTAAATATCTCACACTTAATTAAAACTTTAGCTATCACTGAAAATCTGAAAGACTGAAATAGAAACTAAACAATGTAGGTAAACATTTAGTAAATGATTAACAATTATAATATTTGAACCTGAAAACTTTCAACAAATAGATTTAAAAGTAAATTTTAGAGTCAAAATAATGTTAGCTTTTACCTTTCCATGAATAATAAGAAGGAAATTTAAAAAGAATTTAGCTAACAGGTAGTAATATCACTCTAATACAAATAAAAATATTAGTCTCCAAAATTATATTTGAAATTGTCTATTCAAATTATAATGTATTTACAAACAAAAACGATTTGTTTTTATAATAAAATCTGTACACTTTTAGAAAAAGTGCTTGTTTTGTTTTTTTCTCTTTGCAGAAAACAGAATTTGTATTTTTCACTATAATCCTTTTAGGCATAGGTTTGATTGAGTTAAGAATGTAGGAGATAGAAACATCAAAGACAAATGAGTTTACCAATATCCTAAACTAATGACCAATTTTTAAAAAGCATAGTACCTTAAAACTAAGAAAGCCTTCCACGAATGAAGTAAATGGAGTCTAATTTACCTACCTTACTTAGAACTATAATGGAACAAAGTGAAACATTACTAAAACCACGTCTCCAATTGATTTCCTCAGCTAATAGCCCCATTTCAAAATAATTTACATGTTCATGTTTAGAATACAATATAATTAGATATTACCACTGGACCTGACAGGCAGCTGCCCATCAGCAATACCGTGATTAATTAAATGCTATTTACCATTTACCAAAAGATGAACTTCATCTTGCTAAATTAACCTGGCCCATCTGCATCTTCATAAAATGACAAACCTCATTAGTTCTGCCTAACCAGAGAATTGTGATAATGAGCTGGTGACACCTTCACTCCATTGTACGAAGTGGAACCAACTGTGTACTAATCATTTGAGAGGTCAAATGCATATGAAATTACTGTAAATTTGAGAAATTGAAATCACATGAGTTAGGAAAACCATTCAAGCAACATTTTTTTTTTAAATTTAATCTGCTTGAGCCATAAGAACGCTTTATCTCCAATTACTTAAGATTAATTTTAGCTTATCAACTACTTTACCTGAAAACGGTGAAAAAAAGTAACGATGCAGCTACTGCTCCAAATAAGCCACAGAGAAGATTGACTCGGTAGGCAACTGAACCAATAGGAAATAGTACAATTGCTAGTTTAGCCACCAGAGTGAACAAAGGGTAGCCAGGAGGATGGGCAACCTACGGAAAAATGAGCAACAGTTATAAGGTTTTCATCTAGTGAGGGAATAGTCACACTGGCTTTAATTGGAAAGTAACTCCTTTTCTCAGACGAGTATAACAATTAAGCGTCAATGACTAAATGTTTGAATAGTGGTTTTCTATTGCAATCCTCTTGTGCCAATACAAATAAATATTTTCTTTAGTGGATTTGGCAGCATCTATTGCATGGTGCATTACCTAGAGAAAGGGTGACATATTTCATTGTCAGTTCTTAAGCAGTTTGTTCTCTGGGTTCACAGTACCTTAAGGTCATTTAAAAGGGCTATTGAAAAAAGCAGGTTCTGAAATATCGTATTGGTAAGAAAGTTGAAAGACCACACTGCTATTGGATTACCACCCTGCTGACAGTCTTCAGGTCTTGCCTAAAGGGATCATGCACCATAATAAAGTTTATTAAATAATAAACTTATTAAAAGTGTTAACCCGATTTATTTTATTCTCCACAGCTTATACAAAATTTGGGGTGATAATAAATCAGCTACTGTATATATAGTAAAGGCTTTGCTTTATAATTTAGTTTAATTGGATTTAAAACTTAAAGTAAATTGTCACATACTGTACTTATAAGTTAGTAAAAACTGGGGTTTGAAAATAAATTAATCTACTTTACTCCATGCTTAATTAAACTTTCTTAATTCCTAAAACTGTTAATGAGAACATTGATTAAACAATAAAACTAATACTTACTCCAAGCTCATATGCGGCTGTGACCAGTTCCCCTGTGAAAAAATAATGTAAAACCAATAATTACTATTGAAAATGACACTCCTCCAAAGTTTTCAAAATCCAAATGCTTGCATTGGGGTTTTGCATTAATTTGACTGGATAAAACTGTAAATCTGTAGAGATTTAACAGCATGAAATAGTCTAAGAATATTTTCTCCCTTAGTTCTTACTGAACAAACTATCTGTGGTAGTTTTGAATAACTGCTCCATGGAAATATAGGTGAATTTTGGTGAAAAAAAAATGCTTATTTTCCCTCCCGAAAGAGTTGCATTCACTTGCAAATATACAATAACTGTTCTGAAGAATTAGTGTAATATGATGTAACAGCCCTTAATAATTTAGCACAAAACCATTTATAAAGATGCAATTTTATACTATGGAAAATGTATAGACATCTTTGTGTACTCCTTCATAAAATGTTCCATACTACTCTAACACTGGCATTTGGATACCTTCTCTACATTAACTAGGTTGGATATCTTGGAATAAATTCCAAGTGTTTATTAACTCCAGGTTATTTTGTTAAGCTCTACCACAACACTTTTTTTTCAAGCCATTAAATCATTATATTATTACATGATCCTCCTTTTTAGTTTCTCACCATTAGTAGTAATTTCTACAATTAGGATGCAGTAATTCAATACTTATTTGTAAAACAATATTTTAAGTAGCCAGAGTACAGGCATTATTTTTGATTTATCCCTATACACCGTAATGTGTACACGAAGTAGGAATCGATCAGTACAAATGATTTATGAAAGTTACTATTACCTATTTGGAAATGTATTAATGTTCATTTTCTACCCTTCAGTGGATATCAATACTCTTCATTTCTACTGCCCCAGCCACAACTTCCCCTCTCAGGCCTAGACCACATCTATAAACTCAATCAATATTTAGGCTAAAATTTCTAGATGGCTGCTCTATGCTTGATGAATGAGGTCCAGATTCCCAGCATCACAGGCCAGGTCTCTGTGGCTTCAAGGTCTCTCTGCTAGGCTGACATCCATGAAGCCTATGCTCACCCCAGGCAAATCTGATCATCCACTGTTTCTTTGGAGTGCCCCTCTTTTGCACCTGTTATCACTCGTTTTCTCATTCTGGAATATTTTCCTCAGCACTCTCCTTTATGTCCTTCAAGGGCTAGTTCAACTGCCACCTTCGCAGTGACACCCTTCCTCACACACACCCCTTCTCTCTTGCCTCCCCCAGCAGAATTAATCACTTCTTCCGCCTTTTCTAGAATCTTGCTCAAGCCTCGCTATTTAGCACTAATTTAGATTGCTGTGTATTTTGGTTAGTTGTTTTCATTCCTGTCTATCCAGTAAGTTACAACTTATCCTATCCAGTCTAGGATCCTATGAAGACATCACCTCCTCTCCCTCCCCTAGCCACACACAAAGAACCAATGCAAGTCCTGCACACAGTGGTTGACAAAAAGACACCACATTGTCAGCCCTGCTACTGAGCACCCCTGAGGTGCACCATGGAAACCTCATGTTGTTGTTGTGTGCCGTGGAGTCAATTCCAACTCACAGTGACCCTACGGGACAGAGTAGAACTGCTCCATAGGGTCTTGTAGGCTGTAATCTTTATGGGAGCAGATCACCAGGTATTTTCTCCGCAGAGCCGCTGGTGGGTTTGAACTACTTTTTGGTTAGCAGCCAAGCACTTCACCATTGCACCACCAGTGCTTCTGGAAACCCCATAAAAAAACCCCTTTGCCGTCTCATCAATTCCAACTCATAGGACTCCCCATAGGGTAGCCAAAGACAGATACTGCTTGCTTAATTACTTAAGAACGTCTTTTAAGTTTTCTGGAGACTTTCAAGAGCACCTTGGAAAAAGGTACTTTTTATATGTTAAATACTTTCAAAAGAAATTAATGGTCTAAAAATGTTTACAAGGAGTGTTCCCTTTCTAACTACTATCAAAGATAGGTATTTTATAGTTTTAGCTCAGAATGGCTTAAAAATCCGTTGCTGCCGAGTTGATTCTGACTCAGCAACCCTATAGGACAGGGTAGAACTGCCCCACAGGGTGTCCAAGACTGTAATCTTTATGGAACCAGACTGCCACATCTTTCTCCCATAGAGCAGCTGGTGGGTTTGAACATCAACCTATTGGTTAGCAGCTGAATGCTTTAACCACTGTACCACCAGTGTTCCGTGCTATGAAGTATATGTAAACTCAAAATTTCAAAGTCACTATTCATTTTCAGGTATTTAAAATCACTACTTAGAATTATTCTTAACATTAAAAGAGGGCTACTACACTATACTAATGGTAATAGAGGCCATTTTCTCTAACTTCTTTTTACCACTAAAAAGTCAGTATGCTGTTATTCTTTAATGGAGTTCTGTTGGTATAGTGACAAATCTGGAATGTAACCAACTTCCATCATCAACTATTAGCAAACGTTAAACTAAAATCTAGATAGAAAAGATGGTACTATTCAAAACCTATAAATGTATCCTTGATAAAGAGCTAAAGGGAAATAACTGTTCTTAAAATTTAATGTAACAAGAAGTGAATAGTGAAAGAAATTCACTGAGCCTCCTGTGTCCTTGTTTTCTCCAAACCCTTTACACTATGGTTCCCTCAAAGTTCTATGGCTACCTTTATCAGAACTACCTGGGTGCTTTTTAAAAGTGAAGATTCCTTGACCATAGCCCACACCGACCTAATCCAGTAAGATCCCCAAGCTTCCAAGGCAATTCTGAAGTCAAAGTACATTCAAGCTTGAGAACCACTACTTTGTGACAGAGTGTCTGCAGACGCTTAACAGTTAAAAAAAAAAAAAAAGGTGGCTTTGTAATTTTATATTAATTACACTATTATAGTCTCATATCAAGTCTGCAAAGACACTACCTTTAAAATATACAAACATCTAGATAAGCTGATTTATTTATCCCAAGAATAACAAATAGAAGCAAAGCCTAGATTTCCATCCTCCCACCTCCACAGGACTTCGAGCATTCCCAGCCTCACTTTTATATAAATGAACTATGTATGGTACAAAAATAAGTTTGGCAAGGCCACACAATGTGATGGATTTAAAAAGAATAATTTAAGATTTATCAGGAAGAAGAATACATGCTTTATACTGGTTTTGTGATGGGTTGTTTATTGGTAGAAAATATATTTCATAAACAAACATTCAAGGAGTACATTAAACATATAAACAAAATTATCAAAGATATATTATGCAAATTTTCCATACTGACATATACTTGGAAAGCAATTTATTTATCATTTCCAAAAAATGAACATAATATTAGAAGCAACCACTTATTTAGTGTCAAACTAAACAAATTAGAACATTGAAAAAGTTTGGTAACTCAAGGTAAACACGTAACGTTATTCTCTGGGGAAAATTACAGTATTAACAGAAGGCAACAATCTTAGATTTTAAATAGACTTCAAATATCACTATGTATTTCATGAAATTCTTTGACAAAGAGTAGAGGTTAAATGAGCATGTTTTAAACTCAATCTACTTGTCTTTTTTTTTTTCTGACTGCCCTACTTATTAGCTGTATGACTTTGGACATAGCTTTAGTTTTCTCCTCTATAAAAGACAGTATCTACCTCATATGGTAGCCGGGAGGGCTAAATAAAGACAATCCATGTAAAGCACTTGGAACAGTGCCTGGCACATAGTAAGCACTCAATAAATGTTAGCTCTTTAGCTATTCATCCCACCCCCATGTTTCACACTCATATCACTCATGAAAAGTAGCTGTTAGATTATTTTTTGGAAAGGTACAGTCCTACCTAACCTCCGAGTAATGCTCTCCAATGTCACAACTCTTACAACTATAAAGTTATTTTTGTTGTTCAATATAAACCTTGGAAACATGTAACTCCATCCCCACCCCACTTATGAAACACTATCCCTGTTACTCCCATAAGCCCTGAAAAAGTTAATGATTTCAAAATGGAACATAAAGAATCCTCAATGTGGTAGACAACCTCCAAGATGGTCCGCCACAATTGCCAATTCTTGGTATTGTCTCTTGTGTAATCCCCTCCCCTTGAATATGGGCTGGATTTATTGACTCACTTCCAGGAATAAAATAAGGCAGAAGCAAGATTGTAACAAAGATTGGGTTACAAAATACCAGAGGTGTCAGATTTAGGTGAGACTTAGGAGTCATCTCTCTCTCTGAGAGAAGCCAGATATCCTAGGAGAGGCCCACATGGCAAAGAACTGGTGTTGTCAGACAACGGCCACAGGATTGCGCTTGGACGTATATCCTTCCCAAATTAAGCCTTGAGATGATTGTGCAGCCCCAGCCCACACCTTGATAACTTTCTGGGAGACACTGAGTTAGAGAACCAAGCTAAGCCATATCCAGATTCCTGACCCATAGATACTAAGAGATAAAAAACGTTTAAGCCCTAAATTTGGGGGTAGCTTGTTATGCAGCAAATACAGCTAATACACTCAATTTCTTCCTTAGTCTCACTACCTGAATTTACAACAACGTTTTGCCAAAATTACTGGTCATTAGTACCTATTATTGAATATTTACTTAATTTGGCAGTGAAACAAAACCAAAAACAAAACCTAGATCTTGTTCACATCCCAAATATAAAACAATTATAAATGATTACAATGGCCCACAAGTCGTGTTCTTCTTTAATTGAAGCAGCTTGCTTTAAGCTTCATCTGCCTTCCACTCTCTTAAAAGTGTTCTCCCCCAAATTTTTGCGTGGCTGGCTCTTCTCCTTATTCAGGTTTCAACTGAAATGCCACCTCCTGCAGAGGCCTTTCCTGGCTAGCCATTCTAAAGTAGCCAAAACCCGCTACCACTCGAAATAATATTACCATCTTGATGTCTCCATAATTCATTACTATCTAATATGTCCCTGAGTCTTCGTGGTGCAGTACTTAAGTACTCCACTAACCAAAAAGGTCAGTGGTTGGAACCTACCGGCCACTTTGTGGGAAAGAGCTGTGACAGTCTGCTTCCATAAAGACTTACAGCCTTGGAAACTCTATGGGTCAGTTCTACTTTTCTACAGGGTCGCTATAAGCCGGAATGGATTCGACAGCAACGGGGTTTTACGGTATGTCCTTGTTTATTCGGTAATTTGTGTATTTAATCTCTCCCCGAACTACAATACTATCCATGAGACTTGTTCATCACTACTGTATTCTTTGTGTCTGAAACACAAGAAAAATTCAATAAATATTATCTGCGCATTAAAGGAATGGAAAGCAAAAACTTAGGACCAGAAAAATGATCTGAAGTGGAGGTCGTTAAGTTCCATCAGGCGAAACCAACAAGCCCGGTCTCCAAAGCCTGAGAACTAAAGAAACCAAAGTTTAACAAGAGTGGAAACAGAAGTTGGTTCTGGAACGCAAAACCCCACGCTGGGCACCGACGGGTGGATGGAGGGCCCGGGCTGACCCGCCCTAGTGAGCAGGGCCCAAGGTTGGAGGACCAGACCCACCCTCCTGAAGAGGCTGAGTGTCAGACGCTGCCCTTGCCCGCTCCAGGACCGGGGGAGAGGCACAGGAAGGACGACTCTGAGAGTACTTTACCGGAGTCTCCCCCCGGCACCGACGGGGGCAGCGTGAGAGTGAACACGGCGGCCACAGCAGCGAACACGATGGCACCGCCGCGGAGACCCCCGGAGCGCCGCGGCCCTGCCCGGGCTGTCCGCCCCCGGGACAAGTCCCTGCTGTCACCATGGAGACCCATAGACCAGTGAGGGCCGGGGAAGGAGGACACAGACGGCCCAAAAGCCTCGGTGCCTCAGGTAGCTTCCGGGCCAAGAAGCAACTGCAACCCGCCGGGACGCCGAGGCGACTTCCGGGTCCAGCGGGCGCTGGCCGGGCCGCACCATTCTCCGCAAGGGCGGGGGAAAGAGAAAATGGTAGGCCTCGCAAGAGCCAGCGCCGGGGAGGTTTCCGATAACATCCCATACGCTGGGGCTTACAATCTTACAGTGAGCTTTAAAATAACTAATTAATGGGTGGATAATTCTCTTTAAAAAGTGAGACTGGACATAAACTACCATCTCTATGGCTATTGCCCCTTTCGTACTAACTTGGTCGGTTCTGATAGAGAGAAGCAAGGTCGAAAACCAGGAGTGAGGAAGGACATGTACTGCCCTCTATGGTGTGGGGTGGAACTACACAGAAAGGCCAAGATAGCTAGGTAAACGACTGCCACTGAGTTGATCCCAACTCATAGCGACCCTATAGGACAGAGTAGAACGGCCTCATAGGGCTTCCAAGGCTGTGAATCTTTAAAACGGAAGCCGACTGCTACATCCTTCTCCCGCAAAGCATGCTAGTGGATTCTAACCTCTGGCCTTTCAATTAGCAGCCGAGGGCTTTAACCACTGTAAGATAGCTAACAAAAATCATACAAAAAAAACCCAGTGCTGTAGAGTCATTCTGACTCATAGCGACCCTATAGGACAGGGTAGAAGTGCCCCATGGGGTTTCCAAGGAACAGCTAGTGGATTTGAACTGCCGACCTTTTGGTTAAGCAGCCATAGCTGTTAACCACTGTGTCACCAGGGCTCAAGATAGCTAACTAAGCGCCTAACGTGTTAAAACAAGGGGAAATGAGTTGGTTCCGGCCCCTGGTGGGCGCCGGCTTGGCTCTCCGCACGCTCTGTAGCGGTGTCCAGGGCCCACAGCCGTCCCGGACGCCGGGCCGCGGCCGCGCCAGGAGAGCGCCCGGCCGGGCGCGAGGCTGGCGCGGGGCCATGAACTGGACCGCGAACCTGCTGCTGGACCGCGAGGAGCAGTGCCTGTGTTTCGGCGAGAGCTTCGAGAAGTGGCCGCTGGCCTCTTTCCACACCATTCGCTATGATTTTATGCCAGCGTCTATAGACACTTCCTGTGAAGGAGAGCTTAGGTTGGCAAAGGAGATGAAGTCACAGTTACGCTACCACATATCCCTGGATCCACAACGCCAATGACTGTGTTCAAGGGGAGCAAGCGGCCCTATCAGAAAGACTGTGGGCTCATTATTAATCATGACACTCGTGAATATGTGCTGGAAAAGCTCAGTAGCAGCATTCAGGTCAAGAAAACGAGAGCTGAGGGGAGGAGTAAAATCCAGGGCGAATGGAACAACAAGCCCACTCATCCCCCACAAGCATCACAGCCGCCACCGCCGCCTCCTCCTCCACCTATGTCATTCAGAGCTCCAACGAAGCCTCCAGCTGGACCTGAGACTTCTTCGTTGAAAGATAACCCCTCACCTGAACAGCAGCTGGATGACATCAAAAGAGAGCTGAGGGCCAAAGTTGGACATTATTGAACAAATGAGCAGCAGTGGGAGCAGCTCCTCAGACTCCGAGAGCTCCTCAGGAAGCGATGATGACAGCTCCAGCAGCGGAGGTGAGGATGATGCGCCAGCCTCCCCTCCACAGCCTTCACACAAGCGGCCCTTCAACAGCAGGCCCACCGTCGCCAACGGGACCAGCCGGCCGCAAGGCACTAACCAGCTCATGAACACCCTCAGAAATGACTTGCATGCAGTTGAGTGAATCTGGCAGTGACAGTGATGACTAGAGCCGAATCTTTAGAAATCTACTTTTTCGGTGCGCAAACACGCTGCAAGACCAGGCTACTTTAGCATGGAGTCCATTGCCAAGAGGAGAACGTGGAGCAGTGACTGTAGTAGGAGTTTGAGGCTCTGGAGCACTCAGATATTCAAGTCCTTAACTTAGAGGTGACGGGTGATTTTCTCATGTACTTTTTGAGCCATCTCATGTTTCAAAATTTAAGTAGATCTGTAGAAGAGCTAACAGAATTCTGATTTGGCTAACATTGTTAATGAAAAACACAGACAAATGCGCACTGTTCTGGGTTACTCAGAAGCCACACCTTCCCCAGGCCAAGTGATTCAGTTTTCAGCAGCCAGCGGTTTGGCCAAGTGGTCTGCACCAGTGAAATGAAACAGTCTTTGAGATGTAGGAGGGGGGAGAAACCTCAAATTGCAGCATAGAAGTATGTTAAGACCACTGTAAATTGCTGACACAAAGTGGTAAGTTATGCCTGACCCAGCCTGACAATCCTGTGTAGAATTGGACTTCAAGCCTGAGTCCTAGAGTGTCAGCTGGGCAGAAGCCTGGAGACCTGCTAGTTCAGCCCGCTCATTTACAAACAAGAAAGGGAAGCACACAGCTGGTGTGTGGCAGGTCTCCTGCCCCGACTCCAGGCTTTTCCCACTGCTCTCTTGCTTGAATCTCATTTGTTGAAATCAGAGATTCTTCTACTAGGACTTTAAATGTACATTGGAGCTTTTACTGGATTCCAAAAGACAATAGTGTTGAGAACTTCCAGCTTGAATTTAGATCTAGACAGTCCCTGAATATCTGAGGCTGGGTGAACAAATCAGACCAGCAGCCACTAGGCTAACTTGTGTGACTTGATTAAATTGGGGCTTTCTTTCCATGTAGAGCCGTACTAAGTGTCCTTCATTCAGTGGATTTTAGGGAGGGGAGCTGTAGGGAGTGGGGAGAGTTGAAGTGAAGAAACCTCTGTGAACAAATGAACCAGCAGTAAGTTTCCAAAAACCAGAATCTAGATAGGAGTTCTGCAATATGAAAGGAGAACGTTCTCTGATAAGGTGTCTCTGTTCATGCTTTTGTACCACTGTTCGTGCCAGCCTCCCAGACAGATTTGTATTTTTATAGACAACTAGAACAAAGTCACAAGAGTGCCTTTTGCCGTGTGCAGTTTCCAGATGAATCTGTTGCAGGAAACTGGTCACTAGTAAATGTTCCATACTGAGTGAATGTGTGATAAATCATCCCGTAATTAGTATGGAGTAATCCATAGTAGAATGAATATGTCCTGAGAAATTTCCATCTACTTTGGTTCAGTGGGCATCAAGACATTAAAAATGATTATCCTCCCTCAGATCTCTCCACTTTATGGCCCTCCCTCCCCAGCTGTTAGAAGGAAGCAGTCTATACTGAGGAAGGAAATCGATGGTCCATGGTGGGAGCTTTGGTTAGAGTCGCATCTATGTGGATGAAGCAGAGTATCGACTCCTGCTTCATCCACATAGTGACTGACCCAGGGGGCTGGACACATGGGCAAGGAGCCAGGGGACCCATCGTCCAGCAGCACACTCACACCACTCAACCCAAGTGGAGGTCAGAGGTACCTCTCATGCCCTGTGGTGGCTTCTCAGCTTATCACGAGCTGTCAGTGGATTTAATGGTATATAGGAACTTATTTATGATGAATTGATAATTGATTTATAATTCCTTGGTAATGATGACAGCTCAAGGAAGGTAAAGGTCATGACTGAGAGACTTGAATTGTTACTGGATGTGGGAATTGTTTCACTGCTCTTAACTTGCTCAAGCTGGGGCAAGTTTTAGGAACTTGAACTAAACATATCTATTTAAGCCTCTCTTTTGTTTGTTTTTATAGGAGTGTCTGCGTGCAGCTCTGGCCTTGGTGAGTCAGGATCTTCGTGCTCAGACCCTCTCTACCCTCATCTGTCCTATCCGGCACTCCAGCACAGCTCCAGCGTGGGTCTCTGCACAAAGCTGTCAGTGGTTCCCTTTGTCCCCAGCCCCAGCTTTACCGACCAGAGTAAGGAATCTTTTCTCCTTGGAAATCAAGAATTTGGCCTCACAAACTGCTTTTCACGAGTATCCTTGGGCTAGCCAGATTGGACTTCTTGTTCTTCCTCCTCTGTGCCTTCTTTCAGCCTGCTCCCTCAGCCTGCAGGAACCTCCCCTTTACCCTCCTCCTCCTCCTCACCCCTCCAGACTCCACTCCTGAGGTTCTGTAGGTGCCATCCTCATGGATTCTTCCTCTTTTTCTTTCAACCCACATGGAGTGCCCTGTGTGCGTTTACTGACCTTCCTCCTGCTTGAACTCTGGTTGATGTGAACTCCTTAAAAGCAGGGACTGTCATTCTCATCTCTATCCCAGAACTGGGGTGTCCACAGGAACAGACATTCAGATGCTTATAGCCTGGTTGGGGAGGAGGCAGAGAGAACTAATGGTGGAGTACAGAAAATACAAGAGAAATTCCTGGCATTTGGAGACAGCTGAAAACCATCCATGCTGATTTTCATGATTTTGAAGTCTCTAATTATTAAAATTCCCTTTTATTTGCTCTATACAACGTCTGCCATTCTGAGTCATGTAGGCGAGGCGTGAAGACTTAAGTCTGAATTATCCAAGGCCCCATGGCAAGCCACAGTAAAGACATGATTTGGGGAAACAATACAAATAAACTAGAGATCTGCAATGATGCCACTCATTAACTCCTTTATTTCTGTAGCAGAAGCATTTTTTTCTATGTTTGGTATGAATTTCCATGTGCTTTGGTGGTAGGAAAACTTGAAAATTCCCAAATCTTACTTCCCTATTTGAGAGGCTGGTTCAGTAGGGGTGTGTGTGTATGTAAAAGAGAGAGAGAAAGATGTATTTGTTACATTATTTTGAAAGAGAAATAGTCTGTTACGTGGATGTGTGTTAGGTACGGCCAAACTGGATGTTTCCATCTGGCAAAGAAGGTAGGATTCCCGAAACTCAGGCCTTAACCAGTAGGTTGGAAGACAAGACCAATTGAAGCATTATGAAATGTGTGTTTATGTTGCTCTTGTTAATTCTGTCTTGGTTTTATTGTCTCGTTCTTTAATGATTTTTAAAATCTTGTGCCTTAAAGTTTATATTGCTTAATTATGAAGAAGACATGCATGTTTACATTCATGTAACATATTTGCTGTGTAAAGTTTTCTTTTTAGTTTATTTTCTTAAAAGATCATTATATTTAAGTAAAAAATGAAGGTCAGCAATACAAGAAAAGGGAAATGTCTTTATAGTATGTG